AGCAATCCTCTTATGACACTTTATCAAGTTCTTATCAGCAGCTGCACTCTCCTCTCGATTGATCAATCGATCATCGACCAAGTTGGCACATTGTAGTCACTAGCAAAAGCAGACACTCAGCAGACAAGATTGTTGTACAAAGACACAGGCTAACAACAAAAAGGAAAGTTTTTGTACTTTTTGGCCACTGAAATCGTTATCCAACAAAATGAAGTTGTACATCAAAACCTTCATCACCCTCTTCTTCCTCCTGGTTCTGGGAGTTTTCTTCAACTTCTCCCAAGCGGAAGCGGAAGTACTCAACAACCGGCCCATCTTTGGCGTACTGACGCAGGAGCAACATGATAACAAACATCAGTACGTCGCCTCCAGCTACATCAAATGGCTGGAGATGGCCGGCGCCCGAGTGGTACTAAACTCCCAGCAAAAAACCTCTTTTTAAACTCCTTTCTAACTATCATTTTTCCTATTTTTTAGGTCCCAATCTTCGTCAAACGACCCCACGCCTACTACACTCATCTTCTTGATCAATTAAACGGAGTCCTGCTGCCCGGAGGCGGAACTCCTCTTGTACACTCTCATTACGCCCACGCGGCGAGCTTCATTTTGGACAGGGCAATCGCCAAGGCCAAATCGGGAGTTCATTTTCCCGTCTGGGCGAGCTGTCTCGGCTTTGAAAAGCTGATCACCTACTTCACCGGCGACAAAGACGTCAAATGGGAGTCCCATTGTTTCGTCGAAAACATTTCCCTGCCACTGAACTTCTCCACGACGCCCTCTTCAACTGTGCTGCTAAAAGAGGCAGGAGATCACGTGGTGAACTTGCTGAAGACAAAGAATGTCACTGCAAATTATCACCAAATTTGCCTATCGGTGGAGACCTTTCAGAAGACCACTAATCTAACTGACCAACTTCGACTGGTGTCCACAAACTCCTTTGGAGGCGTGAACTTTGTCTCTACAGTGGAGCACAAAAAGTATCCCATTTTTTCCACCCAGTGGCACCCGGAGAAGAATCAGTTTGAGTGGGTGTTGAGTAAAACCATTGGGTCTATCAACCACGATGCGGATGCCATTCAAATTGGCCAGTATTTCGGGAACTTCCTGGTTGGAGAGGGGCGGAAAAATGGTCAACACTTTGCAAACTCAACTGAAGAAGCCGATTCTCTAATTTACAACTTCAGCCACCAGCTAAAGTACAGCGGAAAAGGTGGGAAAGGCTCCTTTGAGGAGATCTACGTTTGGCCGCTGGAATAGGAGGAGTTTAGGAACAATTTTTTTTAAATATATTCTTTAGTAAACTTTAAAATAATAACTTCCCTTCCCAACATCCTTCACATCTTTTAAATCACTCTCCCAGAGACTTGCCTGAGCTCACATTGTCGACTATGAGCTTGGCTGTTTTTGAAACTCCGGGAACGCCTCCTCCTTCTTTATCAGCAGCAGCAGCTTCAACTTTTGAAGCCACTTTTGGAGGAGGAGGAGGAGGGNGTTCCTGAAAAGGGGCTCGACCTTCCGGTGGAGCTGTGGCGGGAGTTCCCAGCGGAGGAAGGATGGGAACTGTTCCTTGAGATGACTGCTCCTTGGGAGTTGTTGTGGAGGTAGAGGTAGTGGTCGAATGAGAAGGAGTTTTGCCACTGTTTTGTTTAGCTCCTGTGGTGGTAGTAGCGGCAGGAGATTTTGAAGAGGAGTTTGAAGTGGGAGTTTTAGTTGTTGAAGTAGCGGGAGTTTTGCTACCTTTCTTCGTCTTCTTCTTTGTCTTCGGTGCACTGCTCTTCTTCTGCAGCTGCTGCTTTCCTTGCTCATTCTTCAGCTCATTTTTGCTATTGCTTGGTCCACTCTTTGAGCAGCAGCAGCAGTAGCAGGTTATCAGGACGCTGATAAGGAAGACGATGCCGAGGGCAGTTGCAACCCCGATGCCAATCTTCTGATAGAGCTGCCTGCGCTGAAGTTCAATCTTCGCCTTCTCCGCCTCACTGACGTAGACGTTCTTGGCGCAGCGGTTGTGATCTAGCTTGAGGACCGCCTTTGACTTGGGAAAGAAGAGCGGGTCGCAGAGGAAGAAGCTCTCAAAGGGAACGTTCGTTCGGTTCAGCAGAAGGAATCCTGGTGGAGTTTTACCTCCTCCATTTTTTAAAAAACTTCCCAGTTGTGAAAGTTGGCCACTGAGAATGTACACACAGCCGAGGTGGACGTCGAGAAGGTACAGCCGGTCGCCCAGTTTGCAGCCAATTGGAGGAGGTGAACTTTCGCTAAAAAGCTGTCGATCAGATTTGAAGGAGGTGGAAAAATTGCCCGCTCCCTTCTGACGAGGCACCAGCCTCACCTTGCCCGGGTCTTCCGTCTTTTCAATGTAGAAGAAGGTGGTGGCTGAGGTTTGGTCTGCTGCAGGAGAAGTTCCATTTAAGTTGAAAACCGGAAGCTGACTACTGTGCAGGTGAAACGGCGTCGGGAGGTTAAAGTCGTAGAGGATGAGCCCGGCGGTGTTGTCGAAGATGTCTGTTGAAAAAATAAAATTACTGAAAAAGTACTGAAGAAGTACTGAAAAGTACTCGTTTTTCTCACCTTTGTGTATCACATAGCCTGACGATACTGAGCTGCTTTCTTGAGCTGCTCCCACCTCGAGGATCAGCGAGTAGGTGGGGTGAAGGGGAGGCGTGTGCCGGCTCACCAGCTTCCCCTGCTTATCACCCCCGGTCAGGCTGAAGAGGTACTCGGAGTAGTCGGTGGTGACGGCGGCCAGGCGTTGAAGCCTGTCCGAGGATGGCCAGGACCAGGACAGAAAACCTCGAGGCTTCTCCGAGGTGAAGAGNGGTGACGGCGGCCAGGCGTTGAAGCCTGTCCGAGGATGGCCAGGACCAGGACAGAAAACCTCGAGGCTTCTCCGAGGTGAAGAGGTACACCGAGGCGAGGGTCTCCAGGCCGCCGGCGGCCACTTCCGCCGCGGCCACCGAAAGAACTCCACCGCTGCTCCAGACGGTCTCATCCGCCAGCGAATCGACCAGGCGAAGGTGATTCGGCCCCAGGGCGTTGTGGTGCAGCTCGTAGCGGAAGTCCCCGGCGAAGATCACCAGCCCCCGTTCAGCACCACTTTTGCTATTGGGAAAGCCGGGGGTGATGGACTTGAGGGCCAGCTCCGAGGGTGACAGGGCGCCGCTGGTCAGCTTGGAGCACAGGCGGTGAGGCGTTTTGAAGATCTGAAGTGTGGAAGTGTTTTGAAGTTACCTAAAGAGGTGATAGGAGTGCTTGAAAAGTGTGGTAGTGCTTACAGAAGTTGCTTCAAGAAAAAGGAGGTGGTGGTGATGAACTCCACTGAAGATACAGATGATGAGGATCGCAAAAGTGTGACGGTAAATGTCGGGTGTCATTTTGTCAAGAGAAAAAATTTTTTTAATGTTGTGATGAGTAAGAATGAGCGAAGTTTTTGTTTTTCAGAGCAAAGCACAGCAAAAATTCGAACTTTTTTAATCAATTTTTTTATTTAAAAAACGGCGGTCTTTAGTAAAAAGACAAGTTTTGCAAAATCTCGTCAGGAATCGAAATTATTTATTTTTGTT